GCCAGCCTGCCCCAAGCGTGCACCGGGCTCTGGCAGCCTGGTGAGGGTTTGGGTATAATCCAGAGGTTTTGGGGAGGGTTGGGCTGCGCAGCCGGTGCCTGTGAGCCCGGGGCTTCTCCACCCGCGCTGGTGCTGTTCGGGGTTGCCTTGCCCCCCTGCTTGGCACCGGCGGGGGTGTGGGCTGGGGCCACCCGCCGTGCTGAGGGCGCGCTCTCTGTTGCAGGTGGTGACCGGCTGGGGGAGGCCCTCACCCCATCGGCCCCTGCGCGGGGACTGGAAGGCCTGATGCTGCCCGGAGAGCTGGGACCGAATCCTGCCCGCAGGAGGCAAGGGAGGACGGTGTCAGCACCCGCGCTGCTGCCTTCGCAGTCCGCCGGGAAGGGCAGGATGCGCCCGCGGTAGGGTGGAGATGCCGGCGGCCGCTGCCTGAGAGCGATCCCACGTTGTGAGCACTGACGATAACGGGTTATCTCCCACCTCAGCACCTATTTTTGCCATTTTTTTTGCTTGAACCGCCCCGACAGCGCCTCCGCCCCGCCCCGACAGCCCCTTAAAATGCACCGAGCAGGACGGCCAGGGCTGGCACTCTGGCAGGGGAGCAGCCGGGCTCCGGGGCTTTGCTGGGTGTGGAGGGCAGGACGCAGAGGAGCAGCGCAGCGCGTGTGAGAGCAAATAAACGTGTTTCTCTGCATTCGGCCGAGAGCCTCCCGCGTCGGGCAGGGAGGGTTTTCAGCGGCACAAGCGCTGCCGGCCCGTGGGCCAGCCCGACGTCGGCGGGGTGGGGGGGTGTCAGCATCACACGTCCCTGCCTCGGCAGCGTCGTGACGCGGTTTGGCAATAAAAAGGCGTCGAGGACGGGAGTTTGGTGGGGGGGCGGCAGGGTTTTGCCTGTTTCTGTTTCCGTCGGCAGCTCCCGTCCGTCCCCACGGAGGATGGCTGGATGGCTGGCACCATCACGGATGTCCCTGCTGAGAAGGTACCGTGCGGAGCGGCCGCTCCGTGCCCGCGGGCTCTCCCTGCATGGAGAAAACCAGCTCCCACCCCGCTCCCGGGGGCTGAACCCCAGCCAGAGTCCAGGGCAGAGGCATCAAACATCCATAAAATGTTTTATTCAAGTAACTGCAAATAGGAAACCAAAAGGTCGTTAACGGTGGACCAAATGAAGAAAAAAACCCAAACCAAACCCCAATTTTCTCCTGCCGGGGCTGCCCGGCACCGACCTCCCGCCCCCCCGCAGCCCGTGTGTGGGG